AGATATAAGAAATAATGTAAGTGTTATTCGTACTATTTGCTGAATATTTATTTCTCTCATACCTTAAAAAAAGAAAAATTATAATGCATCGTAGGTTTGAGAAAGGGTCCGCAAGTATGAAAAGTTTGAAAGTCATTATGTGCAGATTACTGAATATTTTTCTTTCGTAAAAAAAGAAAAAAATATATCGTACGTTTAAGAAAGGGGCCGCAAGTGTCGAAAGCTTGGAAGCCAATATCTCAAAACAACAATGTTCATAATAACATGGATGATAATAACACCAACATTTGTGATTAATGACTTCCACCATTACCTGCTTCCATCTTGCTATATCGAGAGACTTATTCATAATTCATAATCTGAAGCTTTGTAGTTTTATGTTTAATATGAAATCGGAGTAAATCAAAGTCATATTAGAGCGAAAGCGAGAGAGAGAGAGAGAGAGAGAGAGAGAGAGAGAGAGAGAGAGAGAGAGAGAGAGAGAGAGAGAGAGAGAGAGAGAGGAGAAGAAGAAATGAGAGAGAGAGCGGTGTCAGGCAAGAGGAGGATACAGAAGCAGATAAAGAAAAAAGAAAATGATATACACATATTTTTATATAAAGAGAGAAAGAGGGAGAGTTTTGTAGAGGTAGACGCATCAAGACTATTTTTTTCCTGAAAAAACAATATTGATAATCAAAATGCTTCTCAACCATGGAAATACTTCAATTAAGTCCAGGCACATTTCGCCCTTAAAACAAACAAACATTATTACAGCAACTACGAAGGAATTAGTTACGAACGATTGTCACTCAACTTGTCACTCAACTACACAGGGCTCTTTATTTACACTAAGTAAGCCTATATTAATATTAATGTTCTTATTGAAGATAAAATGCATTACAACCTATATATTCATGAAGTCCATACATTCATCAGTTACATTCATCATGAGCAAACTTGAAATCATTTACGAGAGAAACGCACATTCTTGTATACATTAAAATTCGTAATTACTGTAAACACCGAGTCACTGAGCATTCTCCTCGTGTAGAAATCAAGAAATTGCCGATATTTTAAAGCCTACATCTCTTATCCTACTTACCAATGATAAGAATGATATAACGATGTTAATAATGATTTTGTTACCGATAAGAAATAGATAATGTTTAATATAATCATGATAGTAATGAGCAAACGAAAGAGGATTTACCACAAATCAAAATAGTTCTGAAAGCAATTAATTATTTATCTCAAGTTAAAAAAAATCCATTAGATATTACACAAAAGAATAATGATCACAAGAAAACAAATATTTAAATCAAATATACATACTCTGTGAAGTGAATATTATTTCCAAAGAGTAAACAAATAGTTTACTATTTGTTTATTGCATTTCTGCGTTATTACATTAATAACCCACTAAGCAAGAAAATCAATAATCACAACAAAATCAAATACTTGATAGACAAAAAATCCATCTTACGCTCTGTCGAACAACAACAGGACTTGTCACTGCCTGCACACTTCCGTTGAAAGCTCCGGGCGTAAAAAAGAAAGCGCCGTTACAATCAGTTTTACCTGTAAATGTTTAAAAAAGCATGTGTACAGGATATATATATATATATATATATATATATATATATATATATATATATATATATATATATACGAAAAAGTTTTAAAAAAAAATACTATAACGGGAATAGTAACAATGTAAATATCAGAGAAATAGTTACAATGAAACACTACATAAACTGCAACAAATTAAGGAAAAAAAGTGCTAATCTTATCTCCTGCTATGCCATTAAGTAAATTACGTAACAAAATATAAAAACGATGACTTACAAGTCTTGTACGAGTTACATAAAAATAAATTATTCCCGCAAATATAAAAGAAACATTAGATAATAAAAATGGTTGAGATGTTGTCCTTGTCGGGAATCGAACCCAAGACCTGATTCATATCTCTCTCCCTCTCTAAAACGGGGGACTTGTGGTAGGATTTGATATTTATCATCAACTTCCGAAGCTTCAGATTATAAACTTGAGATTACAAATATCACTGGTGGAATTTGAGCGACAATCACAGTGAACCAAAATAGGTTATAATATTTTTATGAGCGACCTGAAGCGGCGAAAGATATAACAAGAAAGAAAAATCAATATTTGAGTCCGGTCTTCGGATGTCTCATTTAGAAAGTACAAGTTTCGAGCTTTGCCAAACAGTAAAATACATGACAAAATGAAAAAGGCAGATGCCACACAAGCCTATTTTCCAGTGTTGATTCCCCAGGTCAAAGGAAAATAAGGTTAACACGACCATATTCAATTATTATTATAATGATCAGAACAGCAACGATAAAGATATATGGAAATAAACATAGAATATGTTAACGTAGTTTCTGTTATTATACTTAATAATATATTAGTAATGCCAATAATAACAATAAAAACAATTATCATAATAATGGAACGATAATGATAATTGTGATAATAACAGTAATGACAGTTCACAGTTGTTATAATGATAGTGGTGATAGCGATTAAATTTTGATAATAGCAATAACAATAATAACAGTAATAATGTTAATAACGATCATGACAATAATAATAGGAGTGATATAAACGAACATTAGAGCAACGAAAGAAATCATAAAAAAATATACTGATTCTGCCTTTGGATCTCGTTTGTAAAGTACAGGTTTGCAGCTTTGCCAAACAGCAAGATACATGGCACAATAAAAAAGGTATGTGTCACACAAGACGATTTCTGAAATTTAGTGTTTATTCCCCAGGTCAAAGAAAAAGTAGGTTAACACGACCATATTCAATAATTATTATAATGATTAGAACAGCAACGATAAATATATAGAGAAATATATGTAAATTATAATAATGACAAGAACAGTATTGACTGCAGTATTAATAATGATACCAATAACATGGAATTGATTATCATAATAGTGGTATGATAACTCTAAGAGTAATAGTGATAACGACAAACAATAATTGATTATAGTCATTGTTGTGATAATGATCATCATATCCTTTCATACCACAACTGGCACCATTGGACAGCTGTTTGATCTGCATCCAATAGGTCTTGATCGGTGCAATGTGGGCCCAGTGTGCATTCTCGGAGGATGCGATCCATTGTTTGAAAAGGTTCTCCACACGGACAGGTTGGTTGGGTCACGAGGCCCCACTTGTGGAGATTGTTGTTTGTGTGGCCAACTTTTGCCCTTGCTCTGTTCAGGGCCACCCATTCGTTCCTTTTGAAGGACGATCCGTTAGGGAGAGATTCGGATGGTGGTGGTACCGAAGCATAGGATGCTGACCTGTCCCATAACTCCCATTGCTCCAGCCGGTGTTGTGCTGGGGCTGCCCTTCTAATCCTGTGACAAAGCTCTGGTAGAGGTGTGGATTTCAGGTTCCCTGTGATGATACGGCAAGCCTGATTCAGCTCGGTGTCTACTGCTGATGCATGACAGGACCTAGCCCAGACTGGGGCACAGTATTTTCTTCTCCTCTCCTCTCTCTCTCTCTCTCTCTCTCTCTCTCTCTCTCTCTCTCTCTCTCTCTCTCTCTCTCTCTCTCTCTCTCTCTCTCTCTCTCTCTCTCTCCTCTCTCTCTCTCTCTCTCTAATATGACTTTGATTTACTCCGATTTCATATTAAACATAAAACTACAAAACTTCAGATTATGAATATGTGTGAAATTTAAGACTAAGAATCACAGGGAACCAAAACAGAAGCGGCGAAAGATGTACCAAAAGAAAGAGAAAAATTAGACTTGAGTCCGGCCTTTGGATCCTCGTTGAGAAAGTACAACAGCAGTTTTCAGCTTTGACAGAAAGGAAAACACATGATACTAAAAAAAAAATGTCCCACAAGCTGCATCCTAGAGAAAAGAGTATTTATTGAATTGTCATGACAGCAATGATCACAACAGCAATAGTAACAATATTCAAATTAGATATAAATGGAGTAATGATTAAAAAAAAAATGTTTTAGTAATGACAATGATAACAGCAAAAAATAATAATCATGGTACGATGATACAATAGTGTTAGTAATGGTAATAATAAGGTAATGATAAGTTCAAATCAGTTATAATGATGGTGATGATAATGGTTATTATGATCATGATAATAACTGTAGTAGCAATAGAATAATGATAATAGCAATAACAACAGTGATGATGATAATAATAATAATATCAATAAACAATAGTGATGATGACGATAATAATAATAATAATAATAATAATAATAATAATCATAATCATGATTATTTTAATGATAATAATGATAATGACGGTAATGATATTAGAAAAAAAATACAATCATAATAATTATAATATTGATAATGATAATAAAACTTATGACGAGTATAATTTGAACCTCAGTCAATATTACATAAACATGAAAAATTGATAAATAAATGTTACAGACGCCTTTTCTTTCTATGAAATGACGGATTACTGATGCACTCTTTAATCAATTATTTTATCTTTTTCAAAAGAGCGACCTGGAGAAACGAAAGAAATAAAAAAGAAAAATATCTGATTCTGCCCTTGGATGTCTCATTTATAAAGTAAAAGTTTCCAGCTTTATTCCAGGTCAAAGATGTTATCATGGAGAAAAATAAGGATAAATAATGATATTAATATCATGGAATTGATTATCAAAATAATGGTACGATAAATTTATAAGTAGTAGTGAAAACGATAATAATTGATTATGGTTATTGTGATGATAATAATGATTAAACAATAATGCTGGTAATAAAGATGACGATGAATGATGATAGTAATAATGATGATAATGATAATGATGCCAATGATGATGATAGTTGTGATGAAGATGAAGTGAACGTTATAATATGAAAGAAAATAACATCAACGTTTCTGATATAATAACTACTATTCAAAGTGTAGTAAAGATAAGAATCATGTCAATAGATATTCAAATAAGAAAACGACTTATACAAAAAAAAAAAAAAAAAAAAAAAATCAGTTGTTCCCGTCGGGAATCGAACCCGAGATCTCCTGATTCAAAGTCAGTCGTGTTAACCACTACACTACAAAAACTCAACAAAATAAAATTGATGTTTCTGGTCTATGAGATTATAAATATGGCTGGTGCAATTTAGGGAACAAAAGAAGGAAAGAAAGAAATAATGTAGTTCAAGAATTTTATTATTACCATTATTTTTTTCTTCTTCTCTTTTCATCACAAAAGAAAGAAAGAGAAGAAATATGCTTGACTCTGGCCTTTGGATGTGTCACTTGCAAGGTACAACAGCAGTTTCCAGCTTTCCCAAAAGCTAAAACATGAAAATTGATCATGTCTGATCATGACAATAATGATGAAAACAATTATAAATAACAATATCAAAATTAGACATCAGTGATAGTAATGATAGATAACAGCTGCATTAATAACGCCGATAATAACAGTAAAATAATTATAATAATGGTATGATGATAATAATAGTGATGATAACGGTAATAATAGTTCATAATAGTTATAATGACGATGATGATAAAAGGTAATGATAACAGTAATGATAATGACAATAATGCTGATGATAATATAGAAATGACAATAACAATTATGATAATAATGATATTGATATCCTGAAAATGGTCATTCTGATGATAATGATGGTGATGATAAGGATTATGATTATGAGGAGGGAAGATTATAATTATGATGATGATGTTAACAATAATAATAAATGATTTTTAAAAAAACATAATGTTGATTATAAAATAATTGTAATAACTATAATGATAACATTAAATAGGAATAATGATAGGTTTCTGACTGCGGCCATGAATATAAGAAAGATAATGACTATGATGATGAAGACGATGGCGATGATGAGGACGATGAGGGAAGGATACCTCCTATCCGAATAAAAAAGATGATAGGAGACATGCTTATAAATGCAGATAACAGAAATAAAACGAATGAAAAGGAATTGCACAGACACACGAAGAAAGAAAAATTATGTTTTATTATATAAAAGAGGTAAATTATAGATATCATCCGTTTCCTTAACCCTTCTCTCTCTCCCCTCTCTTTCTCCCACCTCTATATTCTAATAATCATTTTTCTTTCCCCCATGTGTCTTTCTTTCTCAAACTTACTTTCTCTCTCTCTCTCTCCCTCTTTCTCTCATACTTTCATGTCTCTGTCTCTGTCTTTCCCGCTCTCTCTCTTCTATGTATCTATTATTCGCTCTTTATCTTATGTATTCACCTCTCTGTCCTTTTCTTTCACTGTGTGTATGTCTCTTTCTCTCCCTTTTCTCTTTGTCTCTGGCTGTTTGTCGCAGGGCGCACATTATCATCATTCATCATCATCATCATCATCATCATCATCATCATCATCATCATCATCATCATCATCATCATCATCATCATATCATATATCATGATTATTATTATTATTATTATTACTACTATTATTATTGTTGTTGTTGTATCATTATTACTGTTATTGTTATAATTAAATGATAATTATTATCATTATTATTATTATTTGAGGGGGGAGGGGCGGGTAGTAAGAATATTCTGGTTCGACTCTGAAGGAACGAAAGAAAACAAAACAAACGCTTTATAATGAACTGCACGCTGCGTCGGATATTTAAATCTTAAAGGAAAGGATTGCAGTTTACATTCAAATATATATATATATATATATATATATATATATATATATATATATATATATATATATATATATATGTATGTGTGTTGTGTTATGTGTGTGTGTGTGTGTGTGTGTGTGTGTGTGTGTGTGTGTGTGTGTGTGTGTTGTGTGTGTGTGTGTGTGTGGTGTGCGTGTGTGCGTGTGTGTGTGTGTGTGTGTGAGTGTGTTGTGTGTGTGTGTGTGTGTGTGTGTGTGTGTGTGTGTGTGTGTGTGTGTGTGTGTGTGTGTGTGTGTGTGTGTGTGAGCCATGCCATCAGTAAATATCTGAAATACATTTTTTGATAAAACAGTGCCGTTGCATTGCTATATTCATATTTCATATTACTCCCATATCTCCGTTTTCTCCAATATCTATATCCGCACAAACGAAACGATGAAAGTAATACAATCTAAACAATAAATTAGAAAGTCCTAACAAAAATAAAACCTATGTGTGATTCCACACTTGGCATGGGAACAGTCTCGAACGCGGGTCTGTAGATTACTAGACCACAGCGTTAACCATTCCTCCATTTTGACGATCTGCGTTAGAATTGAAAACAGCGGTGGATTTAAATTAACATTTGTTGCGTCACCATATGAATGGTGAATTTTGTCTGTCATATATTTCTGACCGAGACATGCAACTTAATGAAGCGTCATTATATGAATCTGTAAAATGGCTACAAAAGCATGTCAAAAAGAGAAGTAATGGAAGAGAGGTAGAAGATTAAGAAAACGAAAAACGTGAAGAAAGAAATCGAAATGTGAAAAACAAAGAAAAGAAGACAGAAGATAAACATATATCGAGCCTATGTAGGTAAAAAGCACGGATAAAATGACGAGACAGTGAGGCAATCAAAAACTTAATGAAGTGACACATAGAATGAATGGGAAAAAATCTGTATGAAATTCCGTACATAAAAAAGAGCATTATTATAAATTGAAATGAATATTGTTTCGTGCGAACAGCGTTTATTCAATTCAGTTTCTTATAGAGTAGCAGGCATACAAAAAATAGATGATTTCAGAGGCTAGAAACGCTAGAAAGATATACAAATAAGAAAGAAACGTGAACGTAGTCACTGTAATTGAAAGTGCAGAAATGGCAGACACTATACCAAGAGATTTTCGCAATATGTTCGAAGTTTTTCTTTCTATGATAGAGTATTCCTGTGTGAGCAGAAAGAAGCGTGGAGACGAAAAATTACATCTGTTCCGATCCTGTCTGAAGCGTCACTACATTCGCTGTAGATGGAATGTAAAATTAGAACAATGAGAATGAGATAGTAAATTAACTCCTAAAATGTTCGTATCTATCAATCAGTTATGGCTGGATACAAAAAATAAGAAATCTTAAAGAGGAGGTCGAGCGCAACATTATGCAGTTCACCCTTAATATTTGATCTCTGTTTACGTGCTATAGAGTCATAGCGATATCCGCGCTGTATAGCCACAAATGTAGAATGAGCGATTTTTTTTTTTCCCTGGCTGTGGCCTGGATGCCTCTCGCTTGATTCATTGGGAGCAAATGACGTAGGAAGAACAAACGGGGAAATAACACTGTTCCGTAATTGGTCACAAAGCCCACTGAGCTTCATTTAAGCGTATGATGGTGTATTGATTGCACAGACGCCGCCGCATGCTCATGTAGATAGTAGTTGCCATCGTGTGTTTCTCTGTGAAGATCGAGGATTCAATTTAGATGGCTGTGCTGGAGGCGTGACGATAGAAGAAGAAATAAGGCGCGGTTATTGTCACACACACATATCGTAAGAGATGTCTTATTGGCCAATTGTCCATGTCCGTAACGGTGGGGGCTCGAGATTTTACCTTTTGCTTAAGTGGTAGCCGTGAGGTAGGGCTCTGTTCGTGAAGGGAGGGGGAGGGGGAGAGAGAAGGATGAGGGCAAAAAATAAAGAGAGCGAATGGATAGGAGAAAGAACGATTTGGAATTCTGCGTAAGACCAAGGGATGTGTGGCACCTTTGGTGACGTCATCAAGACTCCCCGCACTTCTCCCGAAATTCCGATTGGTTCTGTCGCGGTGGCGCTAGAGGCGGACGTCGGCCATGCCGCTCTCGAGATTAGCCTGGATCTTCTGAAGCAATTTCTCTAAAGGGTAAGGTTCAATGGCATCAAAATTTAGGTTAGGCACACCTCTGGTAAAAATAATTCATAGCTTTTTGAGTTGTTCTGCCATCCAACCAACCAGCAAAGTAATCAACGCACCCAAGAACATAACCTCCTTGACGGATGTGAAAAAGGAACACAGAAAAAAGAAAAATTCAAACTGTAATTTCTCTGATAAATGGCCGAGAACCTCGGGCATTACGAAACTGGCGGAATATGGCAAATTCTCGCTGACTCTCTCGCCAGCGACCGGCTGCGTTTGATTTATTGTGAATAAAGAGCCAATTGAGTAGTCAGGGGGAGGGGGGGGGTCACCTGCCTGCTCCGTTGTGATTTGTAGAATTGTTGATTTAATACTCTCTATTTAGCAATTCATCGATTATTCTAATGAACGTTAAAACACAATAGATGCTAACCTATTTACGAAGTTGGTAGAGAGGGAACGACGAGAGGAACCAGAAGGAAATAGAGAAGGGGGAAATGGCGATTTTACAATAGCAACTCTATCTCCACTGAATGTTTGTAGATTGTTACATAGGATTTCTTTTGATTGGCAGCCGTCTGGTAAACTGTTTATTTTGGGTAATAATGCTTTGCAACTTCATTTTGCGTTAATGGCGGGCTGCAGACCTCGAATTTCCCAACAAGAGACTTTTCAATTCTTTCTCCTAATTGTTCCTTATATTTTTCGAAGAGGAAAAGAAACATGGCAGCAGAAGGAGTATTTGGAGGCGCAGTTCGCTGTTTCCAAATAGCTCTGAAGGATGTAGCGCACTTAATTTGACGATGAAATGGGCAAAGGAAGAAATATTCCAATAAGGATCAATGGTGGAGAGATTATGCCCCCCCCCCTATCTAACAAGTCGTGGGGACCATTTCTGTCACAAGTTCAATTGTCCCACGTGGTGGTGCTGGTGGAGGGCAGGACACTGCCGGTGGCTGGACAGGGAGGAGAGGCAGGAATGATAATAAAGAGAAGAAGATCGCCGTGGATTACGGGGCGGCGAAGGCCGTTGGTTTTTTAGCGCGAAAGATTTTGCCTTTCCCTAAAAGGTGAGTATGGTGATTGTTTGCTTTTCATACGAATGTTGAATGAAAGGTTTTTGCATTCGTGTTTGTGTGTAAAGCTGAAATAATAATTATTTGTTAACGTACGGCATAATCATGCACACTTGACACGTGTAACTAACTACTATCAAAGACTGCAAGAAGTATGGAATCCTCATGCAATGTCTGTGTATTATTTTTGTTCAGCAAAT